CAAAGTAGTACACTTTGTGGGCACAAAGTTTCAAGACCAGGCTCAGGCGCTTTTTTTTGTTTTTTTTTTGTTTTTTTAATATTTATCTCCTCCTGCTGGACTCCTCACTGTTGGTTCATGATAACAAGCAGCCTTTTGCCTTGGCCAGAGCACTCAGTATAATTTTGAAGGGAAGATAGATGACATTTTTTTCTTTTGTGATATAGTTTTATTTGGTTTTCTAGGAGAGGGAACATTTGGGTGCATATCTTGTGTATGAAGCTACAGTTTACCGGGCAAGATGTGCAACTCAGACTATTTCGTTGGTGAAAACAAAGTCCAGGAGACATCAGCACAAGGTATATCTATTTGTGGGCATTTTCTCCTGTAATTTGTATGCTGAACTTTTAACTTCTGAACGCAATATGAACAATGCAGAATGTTCCGAGTTCAAGAAGGCTTATCTTTAAATATTCTTATTTTTGTTCTTCTTTTGTGTCCTGCTCACATGCCACTGTATGAGGAAGAAGGCTGCTGCCTACCTTGCTGCGGTAACTCTGGCCTGGCAGACAGCCCAGATTGCAGAAAAATAAAAAAAGGCAGGACTGTGCTGAAGAGCTATACTGGCATTTAAGGGCTTTATGACTGACTGGGCTGACATTTAAAAATCAAAAGCAGAAAACAGCAAAAGCATGCTGTTGAGCTGCAGGCATAGAAAGTATTGCTACTGTTCCATCACCAGAATAGGCAGGGCTTTACTTGAGTATCAGCAACTGATAATGGGAAATGCCACCTTCTCTCACATACAAATATTGTTTTAAATGTCCACACTTTTCATAAAACTGTTGACTGGGAAGTACTTATTTTAATGGATAGCAATCTGTATCATCATGTCAAAAATCACCTCATCGACTTTGAGATAGCTACGGCATCTTACACATGGAGGATTTCTGAAAAAATGTGCTTATTAAACAAAACTAATACAATTGGGAAAAGCAAGCTCAGGCCACACAACCAGTCTTCAAATTTTTCTAGATGCTAGAGTTAAAAACGTAAGTATTTGAGAGATTTGTGTTTCTAGCCTAAAGTTAGGAAGTAGGTTGTGTTTGTGTCCCTGTTAACTTTTCTGCTTCTTTCTGTCTATTCCTAAGCTAATAAAGAAACATAGCTGATTTACCAACCCCCTCTTTACCTTTATCCTTATACCAACATGGTTGTAAGAGCACAACTGTGTTATTAGAAGGGTAAGGCAGTAACTCCAACACATTAAAAATCATATACTGAAGTAAATGGTCTACTAGGTCATTTAAAACAAAGACCCCTCCTACTTGACCTCACATAATTTTTTTTTTTTGAAATTGCTGTTATCATATAACTGTGTATTATGATCTATTCTACCACCTGTGAGCAAAACCTAAACCACAATACTTTCTTACTAGGTGATTTTGCTTCTCCTTTTTGTTGGAATCATTACATGTATCTGCAGAATACCGTGAACCAAAGCTACAGCTTTGGAATTAAATGTGAGAAAGACTAATTTTAATGGCATAACTCCTTAGTGGATTTTTTTTTTTGGTGTTGGATACTCCTGAAGACCGTGGAATTCTCCTGTATACAAGTTTGAAGAAGTTCTGTGGACTCCACACTGGCTTTTAACCACTGCAGTTTCAGTAAGAAAGAGAAATTCAAAACCATGTGACAGATTCAAAAGGACAAAGTAAGGACCTATATTTATCAAAAGCAACATAACAAGGTACCTTGGAAAGACACATCCGATCTGTCACTTCAACTCTAGTTCTTAACTGGAAGAGTTCTCCAGGAAAAAACAAAGGCAGGAACGAAAAGAATGAAAAATAAACTCAAAAGGTATATAGGGGAAATTTTCCTCTTCTGTGACTCTCTTTTGAAGTTTTGATAGAAAGTAAGTGAAGGAAGCTACATTGTAAGAGTTACAGACAGAGTTCCTTGAGGACCAACTCTCCTTGCCCCACAGACTAGTCCCTAAATCAGACTACATTTTTGCAGTACACCACGCAAATGCCCCCAGGTCCTGTACAACTATTACATGACTTCCAGCTAAGGACTGAGGCTGGAATTTCAAACCAGAGAGCAGTGAAAACTTTAAAAACTCAACTACGTAAGTTACCACAGAGGCATTTCAAATAGGTTTGTTTTTCTCATGACAAATTACAGGTATTTCAAGAGAAATATGTATTTGATTATAAATAAGGGGAAATGAAGGAGGGAAAAGTACATTTCTCTCAGCAGAATAGTACTGTGTTAACCATAGATTATTCATCTACCCTCAATCTGAAAAGCACACAAGTGTGGTTTCAAGCCTGAATTTTAAGGAATAGCCAAACATGTAAACTGATGAGGAACACACAGATGTTCCAAGGGTTCAAAAGGATTTCTGAATAGAAAGACTAGGAAGTTTTTTTCCACTGTAATTTTTTTCTATTTAGTAGGTATATGACAATACCAAAAATGCCAGGATTAGGAATCAGGGTTTAAAAGCTCATTTCAAGTGCTGAATCAATTTAATACAAAATATCATAGTAGTAGTACTACAAGAGCTCACAGATAGATAAGCTATCACTACTGCAATCAAAACACAGATGACTGAAGATTCTGGTTGGACATACGTATTTGCAATTAACTGGATAAATTATATAGATATTAATACCCAAAATCAATCGTAGGCATCATATAACACATCTAACTTCTGCTCTCTTTCCAAGTAAGTACCACGTGTTCCTACTTTTATTGGTTGTTTCCTACTGCTCAGAAATATTTAGGGAGTTACCTAATACATGTCTAAAAACTGGTTTTAGTGAATCTCCTGATACTTCATTAATTGTGAACACAATGGAAGATTTTTTTTCTCTAGGAAAGTATATAAAGTTGTAAAGTAGGCAACAATCACAACTTTTTTCCATTGTCCATTTTCAGAATAGGTTTAAGCAGGATGTAGATCCTTAAGCAACAACAGATACACTTATTTTTAATTTGCGTGACTTTGCAGATTGATATTGCACATTCAATTGAGTATTAAAAGGGGAAATAAATGTTATTTTATTGTTACTCATTTATACTATCTAGTCAGCAGCTAGATAACGGCTTGTCTTTTTCATGAAGAGTTCAGGCTCTACATGTCTCTACCAAGTATTATGTTAATATGTTCTTCCTCAGTTTTTTTCTCTAGTTCTTCCATCCTTGCACACTGCATGCACCATGACCAAAATCCCCATCCAGTTATTTTGCTGTATCCTTTCTTGTCACTTAACATCATCTTCAATTCCAAATTTTCTTTTTTTTTTCGTGGTCCTTATTGAAAAAACTAATTTCTTCACCTGGATTCTCATCATTAGGAAACAAGAATGCCAAATACAAACCCTACTATGTTCATTGATTGCACTGAATTGTATCTTCCTCTTTCACTTACAAATCTTAGCACCATGAAAGAAGCAAACTGACTGCAAACTTACAAACATGTACAAGATACTAAGTACTTGGTTATTCTGAGCCACAAACAAGAAGCCAAAATCAGTTCCCAGCTATTATAGATCATTACCTTCAGTTATGCACTTAATTAGATAATAACTGTCATTGCCAGTAACATTTTTAAAGCTCCAGACCATTTAAAAAACAAAAAATAAGGGCACAAATCTATCCAATTGATCCTCTGGAGGAGTAGATAAAAGATGTTTTCCAGCTATCACACTAGCAAATACAGCTTCTGCTTATTAGGTTGGGGTATTTTTATACATATTTCTTCTCCTGTCAGAAAATACAAGCATGTGTGAAAAAAAGGTTATACCTCTATATAAAGCATACTCATTACAAAAGACCTCTGAAGGTATTCTGGTGATTTTTTAATTTGTTTTTAATTCCAGAAGAAAACTAGTGGACAATCTAGATGCTTGGAAATTGTAGTGCTGAAGAGAAGTCCTGAACAACACAGGTGCTTGAGGACTTCTCTCTCAAATCTCTACCACCTGTCTGTGCACTCTGTTGTTTAGAGCATGATTTTGACAGATACCAGCTTACCCTGAAGACTCCATTGCATGTGACAAAAAAGCAACCCTTACCTCATAATACCACCACAATACATTACATTCATTCTTGATGTAACTTCAGTGATGCTAGGCAGAGATTATAGCAAGGTCTATATATAAACACTTGCCAAGAGCGAAAGTATGAGAGGAACTTTCTCCCAGAAGAGGCCAGAGCTACAACAAAGTGTTTTAAGATACAGGTTTGACTCTCCTTCAGCAGCAGCAGATAAATCTTTGCCCTGACCTAGATGAATGTTTAACAGATGAAGCAGAATTTAGGAGAATGCAACTACTTCCATCTGAATCCTAAAAGAAACAAGTAGTTTTAAAAAGGTTTGAAAGAAACCACATAGGCAAATCGATTCATGGATTTCAGACTCTGAGTTCTAAGGCTGCAGCTTCCATAAATTCTGACTAAAGCACAGAAGTCCCCAGTGGGACCAGTTTTCAGACACACTACGAAGGTTGAAACAACATCTCACTACTCTTTTCTGTCAGCCTAGCTTTTCAGTCACCCCCACAAAGCTTGTGTAAGGCTGAGACAACCAACTTTGCTGGGTATGGCAAATGAAAGAAAACCTGTAACAAGAATAATTTTGTCAATTACAGTTCCTTTATTAATGGTACAGTGCAGCAACATCAACTGAAATAAATAGTTATTTGTACACAATACAAAAATATAACCCTTCATAAAGTTTATACTGTGCTAGGAATTATGTATTGAACTTAGACAGTTGGTATATGGCATTTCCTATTAAATAATGTGGATAGATACACTCAGCCAGATTAATGTAGTAACATTTTCTCTAATTTGAAGACACACACACGAAGAGCAGTTTATTAGTTTAGTGTATGCATACATCACACCTCAGCTAAAATTTGAGAGCAAACTAAGTTTTTCAAGTTTTCCCTTTGCCACTGTTTTCTATCGATAGCACAGTGATTCTATAAACAAATGGCGAATTGAATTTTTGATAGTAGCATTTATTAGCAGATACAGAAAAGCATTATTCAGACAGACAGCTTAAGGCACCATCATTTCCACAACAGACACATGAAATTACTGGCAATGATCAATTTTAAAGAAGGCTATGAGTGTTTAGCTACAGTACCATGATGAACAACAATCTATTCTTTAAATATATTTGACAATATTCTTGACAATATATTCAGTCGACTAATGTGGCTTTTGTTTATTCTTTAAAAAATGAAGTAAAATATAAGATTTTGACATTATTACAATCTCAAGAATGCCTCAAATCTTTGAAAAAAAAAATCTCCCTTTATTCCTCCATTTTTAAATGTAAACAGATCCATCATTCTTGCAAGACAATTCTTTTACAGAATTTTTAGAAATACAGTTTCCAACACATTATATAGTAAAAGTCCACCAAATAATTTTGTTCTCCTTTAAAAGAAAGTGTATCTAACTGCTGATAACTGCCTTCCCTCAAATTCTGTATTCCATCTGTCTCTGCTGTCAACAGCACTGGTGAAGATTCATCTAAACGAAATCAAGTTTCTCCTGAAGTCCTACAGAGCAAACACCAATCCTTGATTTACTCAAGATCTCTTTCCTAATAATAATATCCTATAATAACAGCTGAAAGTTAAAACAATATGAAGTGTAACATCCTGACAGCACCTGCCACAAAGACTCAAACAGCTACCTTGTTAAAACTCTCTTAAAAACCCTAGAGTCAAAAGTAGGAGTCGAACAGGATAGGACAAGGAACAATTTTATGAATTTACAATACAGAAATTGTGCGTTCCAGATTGTACATAGTAGTTCAGACATAGAACTACAGCGAGACATACCCACAGAACCATTTTGAATTTCAGAAAATGTTCCGGCCACATCACAAGCTGACATCAAAAGATTATGAACCTGATGAAGTCACTGTAGCCTACCTAGTTTCAGTCACTCAGTAGGGGATAGAAAAATCTATCAGAGGAAAAAAATAGTAGATCTGAAATCACACAGTACATACTTCAAAAGGTATTCTCCAAATTACTATAAATTCTGACAATATCCCCTCCATTTACCTATCCCTACATTTCAGAGTAGGACCGGCTGCAATTATTTGTAATAAATAACCAATACCCACTACAGTGTGGATATATTATTCCATGAATCCCCAAAGTCCTTCATTTGTGTATTGATCTACTTGGTCAGCCAAAACCTTATCTCTTACCTGCACTTGGTGCAGAGAGTTGATATGCATCAATCTTGAAGTCAGACATTTTATTGCCAGTGTAGTGAATAACCGCTCAAGTTTCTCCCCATTTTCTTATGGCAAATGCCAGCAGCGCATAAAATGCAAAGTTGCCTTTCATTACCTCTTTTGCCTTAAGGTCCTATGAGCAGAAGTCTTGTTATACTGTTTCTGCATCTTTTGCACATAAACCTTTAAAGTTTATCAACTTTCACACTGTCGTTCATTTCCTGAATGTCAGTGAAACACTTCCTCAGAAGTGAACTATACAGGTCATGTGACATCATATGTACAGTCAGCTATGAAGAAGTATATATCTGATTCCAGTAATTCAATAAGCAACTGCAAATTTTCTCCATTTCAAACAAACTTAAAATAAATAATTTCAATTTAAGTAACAGCTTCAATCACGACAGCTGTGTAGCATATAAAAAATAAGAACTATAGAGAATTAATCTTGACATTGTCAACTAATTGGCTTCTTGCACCACTGGAAATTTCTGACTGAATCAATAGCAAAATTTTCAAAGCTACTAGCTAAAATCCGGATGTAAGAATGACACAAAACTGGGAAAATAGGTTGGATTAACATTCTGTATGTTAAAACCAGATATTCCTCATTCAAGCAAACTATCCACAGCTTAGCATAGAAAGAGGTCACAATTAATTTTGGTCATGTTCTGCATATGCTCAGATCTCTGAACAATGGGTAACTTTACAATACACAATTTATCAGCCTTCTACTCCTTTTGTATGACTGGGTTAATAATGAATTAACATAAAAAAACTGAAATCATTTCGTATGGTCAGCTCCAACCTCGCTTACCTAAACTGACATATGACAACAAAGTACCTATAAAAGCAGTGCAAATATAAAAGCTCCATGACAGGGGAGGGGGAGAAAAAAAAGAAATTAAAAAAAGCAGCATGAGTTTTCTCAGTGGTCGTTCACTATTTTGCCTTCTGGCAGATGAAAGAAGTTATCTTCCTTGAATTTAAGATGTCCTGGTAAATCCAGCTGCCTGTTTGCTTCTTCAATGTCTTCCTGAATTGCTGAAATGAGTGCCTCTGAAAAGGATAAGAATAGAGATATTTAAAAGTCAGTTTGAATTCTGAACACAAAATAGCAAGTGAAAATAAGGTGTGCCACAAAATACCCAACAACAATCACAGAAGTAGAATCTATTTATTACCATGAACTTTGAAAGGCAAAATTATTTGGTTTTAAAGTGACCGTTTAAAAAAAAAAAAAAAACAAACCCAAAAGATATTAGCATTGCATTTTTCACCCTTATAAGCACTACCTTCTCCTTGTTCTAAAAGACATTTTAGCAAAAGATCAACAGAGTTTAATGAACTGTTTCAATTCTAACAAGCTGCATTTTAAGAAGAAAGAAAGAGACTAGACTGATACTTTTATGACAAGCCCATGATTTAAAAATTACTCCTCAGACAAGTGATACAACAATACAGTTTTTTATTGTTATACACTGGAAGATGTGGGGGTATGTTATGAGGTTTTTAAAATTAAACTAACACATATAGTTAGCTTATGAAAACATTTTCCTGAAATTTTAAAGGTTAACAGATAGAACATCTCATTATGGAAAGAGAGACAGTGAAGACACCGTACTTGCATGAATAAGACAAACATGAGGCTAGTTTGAGGGAGACCTGAAATACTGACCCAAGGAATCAAAGTTTTTTTCCGGTCGAATATATCCAGTTATGACTATACTAAGAATTTCTCCATAAAAATCTTCTTTGAAGGTGTGGATAATGTGCGTTTCCTAAAGGAAAAGAAATAAGTTAGCATTTATGATGAACTTTGAGTTTATTTACCTCACTGTAAGGATGTAGAGCTAATATCCCTAATTCAAATTCTCCCCAACACTTACCAATAAAAGGGATGTTGAGTTTATCATGTACAACATAAGATTAAAACACTACAGCTTTTGCTGATGTTAGGAAGGAGAAATGTACTTTGCATCAAACTGGACAAAAATTACTCACTAAAGAGTATTTTGATAACAGCCCTCTTGCGGGGGAAGAGAGCAAGGGGGGGGGGAGAGAGCAAGGGGGGGGGGAGAGAGCAAGGGGGGGGGGGAGAGAGCAAGGGGGGGGGGGAGAGAGCAAGGGGGGGGGAGAGCAAGGGGGGGGGGGAGAGAGCAAGGGGGGGGGGGAGAGAGCAAGGGGGGGGGAGAGAGCAAGGGGGGGGGGAGAGAGCAAGGGGGGGGGGAGAGAGCAAGGGGGGGGGAGAGAGCAAGGGGGGGGGGAGAGAGCAAGGGGGGGGGGAGAGAGCAAGGGGGGGGGGAGAGAGCAGGGGGGGGGAGAGAGCAGGGGGGGGGGAGAGAGCAAGGGGGGGGGAGAGAGCAAGGGGGGGGGAGAGAGCAAGGGGGGGGAGAGAGCAAGGGGGGGGGGAGAGAGCAAGGGGGGGGGAGAGAGCAAGGGGGGGGGAGAGAGCAAGGGGGGGGGAGAGAGCAAGGGGGGGGGAGAGAGCAAGGCGGGGGGAGAGAGCAAGGGGGGGGGGAGAGAGCGGGGGGGGGGAGAGAGCGGGGGGGGGGAGAGAGCGGGGGGGGGGAGAGAGCAGGGGGGGGGGAGAGAGCAGGGGGGGGGGAGAGAGCAGGGGGGGGGGAGAGAGCAGGGGGGGGGAGAGAGCAGGGGGGGGGGAGAGAGCAGGGGGGGGGAGAGAGCAGGGGGGGGGAGAGAGCAGGGGGGGGGAGAGAGCAGGGGGGGGAGAGAGCAGGGGGGGGGAGAGAGCAAGGGGGGGGAGAGAGCAAGGGGGGGGGGGAGAGAGCAAGGGGGGGGGAGAGAGCAAGGGGGGGGGGAGAGCAAGGGGGGGGGAGAGAGCAAGGGGGGGGAGAGAGCAAGGGGGGGGGGAGAGCAAGGGGGGGGGAGAGAGCAAGGGGGGGGAGAGAGCAAGGGGGGGGGAGAGAGCAAGGGGGGGGGGAGAGAGCAAGGGGGGGGAGAGAGCAAGGGGGGGGGAGAGAGCAAGGGGGGGGGAGAGAGCAAGGGGGGGGGAGAGAGCAAGGGGGGGGGAGAGAGCAAGGGGGGGGGAGAGAGCAAGGGGGGGGGAGAGAGCAAGGGGGGGGGAGAGAGCAAGGGGGGGGGAGAGAGCAAGGGGGGGGGAGAGAGCAAGGGGGGGGGAGAGAGCAAGGGGGGGGGAGAGAGCAAGGGGGGGGGAGAGAGCAAGGGGGGGGGAGAGAGCAAGGGGGGGGGAGAGAGCAAGGGGGGGGAGAGAGCAAGGGGGGGGAGAGAGCAAGGGGGGGGAGAGAGCGGGGGGGGGAGAGAGCGGGGGGGGGAGAGAGCAAGGGGGGGGGAGAGAGCAAGGGGGGGGGGAGAGAGCAAGGGGGGGGGAGAGAGCAAGGGGGGGGGGCAAGGGGGGGAGAGAGCAAGGGGGGGGAGAGAGCAAGGGGGGGGGAGAGAGCAAGGGGGGGGGAGAGAGCAAGGGGGGGGGAGAGAGCAAGGGGGGGGGGAGAGAGCAAGGGGGGGGGGAGAGAGCAAGGGGGGGGGGAGAGAGCAAGGGGGGGGGAGAGAGCAAGGGGGGGGGAGAGAGCAAGGGGGGGGGAGAGCAAGGGGGGGGGAGAGCAAGGAGGGGGAGAGAGCAAGCGGGGGGAGAGAGCAAGGGGGGGGGAGAAAAAGAAATAAAGGGGAAAAATTAAAAGAGAAAAAGAAAAAGAAAGCGAAAAAAGAAAGCAAGAGAAGCCATTACTCAGGAGAAATGCTCCACCACTTCTTGGAGGTAAGGTTCCCAAGTCAGATCATCACAAACAGAGCTTAATGTTTCACAGTTAAGTTAATGCACCCAAATAACTATGAAGATGTTGGTTGAAATAGTTGACTTAAGGAGCGCTTTTTACAACCAACTCACCTGAAAACAGAACAATAAAATCCAAGAAGGAGCAAAGGCTGAGACAGGGTTTCATCTTACACTCAAAACCATTTTATGCACATCTCCCTCTCCGACATAGGCCCACCCACAGCATATACCAGCAGAAATACTAGACAAATCTTTTGACTACTTGCTCAGAAAAGTGGTCTGCAAAAATTTTAAAAAGTATATATTTGTGTAAGACAAGCACATTATGGGGTCTTGAAACACTTAGAAACTTAGAAGCAGAGATTCATGCCCAAATAAAAGTGTTTTAAACAACTAAACTGAGTTCTGCGAGACTCAGGAAAAGCACCAGCACCTGACAGCAAGAAAAGCACAGCTGTCACAGCTCAGGATTTTAACTCAAGTCCTCCATCCTACTATTGTGTACCTTTGCATATTTATTCTGTATAGCCAGCCACAGCACCTCATGTATGGATTCCATCATTTAAGAGAATAATTAGTAGAAAATCATTACAAATTAAGACATTCCACGATGTCTTATTTGAAATGCAGATAGATTGCAGAGAACAATCGATTAGTGTGTTCCAGCTCATGCTAGGGCTCTTATAACCAGCAAATTCTGTGCATCTAGCAAGCTTATGTTTAGTTAGCCATCAGCACCAGAAGCAACTACCATTTCAGAAATACTGTTAAAATTTTATTTTGGATGTGTTTAAGAGCAGACAGAAATTCTAGATCTCATTTATGGATCAAATTATGCTTATCTTATTCAAATTCAACATCTGGCTCATTTATTATAACAAAAATCCCCCACAAAGCAAAATTCTTACCACTGATTTCTTAATATTCTTATAGAAAGGATTCCATCCTATGCTCAAAACCATTTTATGCACATCTCCATTTCCAACACAGGCCCATCCATAGTATATACCAGTAGAGATATCAGATGGAAAGCTTTCAACTACTTGCTCAGAAAAGTTAGCTGCAAAAAATTTAGATAGTGTAGAGTGTGAGTGACTTTGTGTAAATCAAGGACATAACAGAATCTTCAAACACTTAAAAGCCAAACTCTACCTACATATAGTTTACAAACATAATACTGATGATGAAGATGAGAGTGATGCAATGTGCCATTTGGCAAAGTACAAATAAACCAAAACAGCTTCATAAAATTCAGTCCCTGTGGTAATAACAAAATTATCACATCTCTCATGCATGCTATATTATATAATTATGTGGATTCTTTTCTGTGGTAATAATTAAGAAACATGTAATATATCCAGTCAGAACACATTTCACTCTCAGGATAACTATCACAGCTTTAATATGGTGAAAGATGAGGGGAAAAAAATCAAGTTTTTTCCACGCTGTAAGATAATATCTCAGAACTATTTACTTGCTAGTAAAATAATTACTTATTTAAATTAATTACTTATAGATATAATAAGTATAAATACATTAAATTATTATTTAGTCACCTGTCAAGTTTGTACAAGCTGACTTTCAGAAGCATCTGTGTATTTCTGGGATTTTCTTTGAAAACTACATATCTACAGTATTCCCTTTTGACTGAACCTAGCCTTCTTTCAAAGTTACTATCCTACTTTTACTACCTACACTAGTAGATCTCTTCATGCCAGACAAGTTGATTTGAAAGAAATCATGGTTACTGAGTTTTTATCAAAGTTCACAGGCAGTAACAACTTCCCTCCCCTACTGCCTGATGCCAAATCACCATTTATACACAATCAAGAGAAAAACGTGCAATTATTAACAAATGTTGTCAGAAATCCAGCACCTCAAGACTGGTCTTGACAAGCTGCCTTGTCTGCTAGGTGTGGTGCAACTTGGCTGTCGACTTCAGTGTCTGTTCCACTGTAATTCCACCTGAATTACCCATCTAGCTGTATTTCGACAGCTGAAACAGAGCTGAGCAATAGGAAAATACACTTCCTTGTAGGCCAAGTCCACCTGCTGTTTTCCAACTTCTGCATTGTTCCCTCGAACTTCCTTCCTTACAGCTATTCCCGCTGCCTACTCCCTTTCTCACGCTAATGCCAGGTTTCTGTGAACGGATGCTTTCCAAGCTGCCACACACCGACACCGCGCACGTGACCATTTATCCACATCCCGTACATCGTACATCATCGTGACGGTCATCAGATGATTATGCAAAGCAAAAAACAAGACTAAAGAAACGGCTTAACAGAATGGGGAAAGAATGACACAAGACTCCGGGCAATGCAGGACCAAGGGGAAAAAAAAAAAAAAAAAAAAAAAAAAAGTCAGAACAATGGTAGCACGGCACCAGCTCAGCCTCCTCGAGCCGGTCGCGCCCCGAGGGGCTCAGGCACCCGCCGCAGCCCCGCTCGGCGGCGGGAGCACCGGCCGCCCCCGCCCCGCCGACCCACCCCGGCCCGCCGCACACCCCGCTCACCCGTGGGGACGCCCAGCTCCCTGGAGCCCCTGCCGAAGCCCTTCACCACCTCCCCGCGGCAGAAGTACGGCAGGTGCCTCATGGCGGCCGCGGGGCCGACGCCGCCGACCGCTGCCGGCAACGGCCAGCCCCCCGCGCCGCCGCCGCGCTCACAGCGCCACCAAAAGGAAGGGAGACGGGGGAGAAACCGGGAGGTGAGTCGCGGCTTCCCATTCGCGCCGCCATGCTGCCTCCCCTCAAGAATGGACTTGCCCAGCCGGCAGGGCGGGCTCTGTGTTTACGCATGCTCAGTCGCGGCGGCGGCGGCGGCCTGCGCCGACGGAAGGGGTCGCCGGCGGCCGCCGTGGCCCGGGCAGGCGGCACGCTCCCGGGCCGGCCGGGGCCGCTGGGCAGAGGGGGCTGCGCGGGGTGAAGCGGGTCAGTCGTCTGGGGAGGCTCGGCGGGCGTCGGTGCTCGGCGTCAGCCGCTGTTGGGCTCCCGGGGGCGCCCTCGGCTCCCGCCGGCAGAGCCCGTTAGGGCCGGCTCGGAGGTTGCGGCTGGGCCCGGCCCCGCAGCCCTTCTTGCCCTCGGAACCGAACGGCAGCGGCCGCCCCGCAGCCCTCCGACCTGAAAAGCTTATCTGGCACTCGGTGGCCGCGCACAGAAATCGTGGTTTCTTCCTTGGTTAATTCTCGTTTTACCTCTTCTTTCAGAAAAGGTCAAATGCTTCAGGGCACAGCAGACATTTGGGAAAACTCTTAAGAAGGGATCTTTTTGTTACACGATAGCGACGAACTGTAGCTGCTTTTTTTTTTTTTTTTTTTTTTTTTCCTCTCTGATTTGCTATCATGCTCCTATCTCCTTTTGCTGTCATTACCCCTCCTAGTGCAGGAACTTCTTTGGGGAAAAAAATCGAGACAGAAATGCTCATCCTGTGTTCGCTCTGCATACTTAAAGGAAAGTGAATGGTAACAGCATTTCCCTTCCTTCACTTTCTAGTAACTGCATGTTGTACCACTGCTGTGCTGCACATAAGCATTTTTGTATATAAACACATACCTATACCTAGAAATACCACTGAAGTCCTTGAACTAGATTTTAAATCTTTCTTCCTTCTAGAACACGGTTGCTAATTTTACCTGTTTGATATAAGCAACAAAAATATTTCAGGACTTGTAATTTTGTTAGTTACATTTTTTTGTTTTGTTTTGTTTGTTTGGGGTTTTTTTTTTTGATTGTTTTGTTTTTAGTGGAGAAAAGCAGTGTAAACACCTATTAACTGTGATTTTTATCTAATTGCATTCCAAGTAAATTACTTAAAAATGGGAAGTGTCCTTAGAAGGTATGACCTATAGGTCGTATCATAAAACACTGAATGCTACCAGTTCACAGGAGCTGTGGACACAAACTATTTCATATAAGAAGGCCAAAATTATTTTTTAAAGTGATTTTGTCTCAAACTTACTCTTCTTTTTTTTTTTTTTTCTGTTATCCCAATTTCCCACCATCTTTTTTCATGCTAAAATTTAAATTCATTACTCAGTTTCAGTTTGAGAAGCTTTGACTGATTTACAGAATCATTACATATGTAGCTGTAGCTGAGCAACAAAGTGGTGGTAGTATCAATACATGTAAGAAGGAAAACTGGAAGAGAAAGATGTCCTAAGTATGCTACTACAGTTCATATTCTGCTCCACTGTTTTGGAGAGTATGAAGAATAATGCTATGAAAAGTGTTTTCAGTGATACTTTGTAATGGAAATGTCTTGGATATTAAACCCTATTCTCGAAGTTGTTATGCAGTTGCTTAACTAATGACAGACCGTTAACAGATGAGTATGTGACCACATGGTCCTTAGAATTGTTAGTTTATTTCAGCCGAAGAGAAAGAAACAAAACAAATTATATTTTCCAGAATATGTTTTTTCCTGATAGTAACAAATTATGCATCGGGTTATAATTCGTATTTAAGTAGATACATATTTGTGTTTTCCCCCTCCCCCCCCTCTTTTTTTTTTCATCTTTTCAGAAAAAATGTTGATGTTCTTGTGGTATCCACAAGATGGCATGCAATGTCCTCCTTTTAGAGTCTGCAGGTTTGGGCATAAGGTTTGCAATCTTCTCAGTAACAGAGAAGACTGTGAGAAATAGTTAGTCAAGGAAGTATTTGTTTAAGAACTACGTGGTTAAGTAATTTCACAGAAGTCTATCCGATGAGTTCTATCTCATTCTGTCAAATAGTTGTAATGTTAATAATTTTTACCAGTCATCGTGATGGGTTGCTGTGATCCAGCTAAAACTTAAGCCATTCTTGATACTAGACATGTTTTTATTTTGTTATTAATTGTACCTTGTTCATACTAGAGAGGGGGATCTTGAACAAGTAAATTTAGTTACTTGTACTAAAATTTAGTAGACATGTTTCTTCCAAAAGCGTTAACAATTTTTAGTGATGAACGTGTTTGCTAGCATTGTCAGCCAAGAAAAGAGCAGTTTGATAGTTGATGTCTGCAGTGAGAAAACTCGGGTGCTGTTTCTGGCAGCTAGGAAGGAACTTGTGTTCACTGGTTATGCTACTTTATCTGCAGCTATTGTTGTTAGTAAAAAGTGTTAAAATATTTTTCTAGTATGTATATACAGTCATAGAAACCAGAATAAAGAAAACAGAACATGGTTTATGTCATCTCTGTAGGGTCCATGTCAGGTTACCTGACTGAATATAAGCTTTGGGGACTCATCATCCTAGCCAACATTTAATGGAATGAATAACATACCCTGTTCATCGTGTTTCACAGTAAAGTATATGACTTGTATCACATCACAACCCTGTGGCAGAGTTCCTGCCTCCTGCTGCCATGCTGCAAAAGGGTGCATTCCTAAGGCATGGCTTAAAGTGAGAGAAGGAACATCCTGTTTCATCGATCTAAAATAGAAAAATAGCAAACAAACAAACAAACAAAAAATTCTGCCAGATACTCGGATATTCTAGGGTTGTTCTAGTCAAGCTTGAAATTCTGGTTACACCAGGCTTGGTGAAATATTCAGGAGGTGACTCAGAGAAAAGAGTGCCACGTAGTAAAACTAGTAGTATTTTAACCAGGTCCTTGGAAGTTGCTATCCCTAGCATGACAAAACTCTCATTGATTCAAGAGTTCAGCCCAAGGACACTCTGGCACGCCCTGCTTTTAGTGGGCTGAAACCAGGTGGTGAAATCAGAGTACAAAGATACATACAAAACATTCTTTCAAGAATGTCTAATAAACACACCTGCTTTGAAAGTATTTTTTTCTGCATTGTAGCTTGGAATAGAAGACCACAGAAGTTTGTTGTTTTTTGTTGTTGTTGTTTGGTTTGCTTTTTTGTTTGTTTGTTTTTTTTCAGTCTGAAATTTTGTTCTACTCCAAAAGACTGCTTTCTTCTAGAAGAAATAACTGCAAAGGCTACCAAGACTGTGTTAGATTACAGTGAAGCAACAGGTACCATGTACGTCAGCATAGTAAGGCATAGCTGATACAACCCACTGAACAGCTTCTGGTAATTATAGAGAATTCTAGCATTTGTGTTACTAGATAATGTGTAAGAGGCAAAGCTTGTTTGATTACTTACTTGTGTAATTCAGATATTGCAGAAATATGACGCAGAGATGTAGAGCTTGATGCTTTTTAAAAGCCTCTATCAATGTGTCTGAAAATTCTCTCAGCTTTGAATCACTCTTTATCTTTCTAGTGCCTTTTCTCCGTACCAAAGCCTCAACTGGTTTATTGAAAAAATGCACAACGCTTCTTTCAACTAGCTTTCTCTTGTCTCTCTACAGCATTGTATTGTGCCATGTGGACATACTTTATGGTTAACACTTAAAATTCTCTAGATTTTAAAACTGCTGAAAAAACAACCTTTTTTTTTTTTTTTTCAGAGAGCCTTTAAATGCATTTTACAGCCCTCCCTATTTGTCCATTTTCCAAAAATAGTTTATTAGGTGTCTCAGATTAAATATGTGTGATCTAGCTAGTCTTGATTAGGCTAAATCATAATGGTGGCCATCTGAAGGCCAGGTGAATATTGCAGATACTTTTTCCAGCCACAGTTGATCCAGATCAAAATGTTTGTGGCCAGTCTATCACATATTATAAAAGCAATTAAAAAATTTAAAACTTTGATTTAGATTTCTAATCTGCTACAAAATGAAAGATACAATACAGCCTGATTAATGGTTTGGCACAATCTTCAGGAGAATCCTAGCAACAGAGGCTTTGGCAGCACAAGAAAAGTAGTACAGGGCAAGGCATCCCAGGCAGCTTTCACCCTTGAAGATAACTAAATAAGATTGTCATACATTTGACAGTCTGTGTTCTGGAATACCTTGCATTTCTCAACAATCAACACAAATTGCTACCTGGAATCCCACAATGAAATGTAGAAGAACAAGACTGGGGATCTCAGTGAAGTAGGTTAGGTGATGTTTACCATATTGTCATGAGTTGTGCAATGCCTTGCAGATTAATAGATGTCAGGCAACATGGAGGGTACTGTCAAGCTATTTCTGATCAGTATTCCTACAGAAATGGCATGTAAGCAGTAATAACATGTTACAGGAGTTAGTTAGCTGAGATCAGTTAAGAAAGCCACAAACAGTGGGATGGGCAATGGATTTTTCAGCTTGTTAAATATAACAAAAAACGAAAATAACGGCATTTCACATTTTGTTGAATCAGCAATTTCTGATGAGTTGGAAAGCAAAAGAGGAAAGAAAAAAACAAAACAAACTAACAAACAAACAAAAACCAACAAAAATATTTTCTGTCCTAGAACTTCGGTTTTACTTGGCTCTTAATTCCTACTTTTCATGGGGAAGAATAGGAAGCAAAGTTGCTACAGGCTTACAGAAAAGGGCAATCTGTGAGCAGGAAGAGCCTGTTAGAAGGACATAAGCTTAAGTGGTAATGAGTACAAAGTTAAAAGGAGCAGATATTTTATACTTATGAGACTTCACAAATTTGGAAACATTTTACAGAAGGAGGTAAGCCAGTTTGTCAGAACTGTTTACTGCAAGAACCATTTCTGCAATGACATAAAGAATAAAATACTGAACCAGTGACCGACCACTCATTCATGGAAGTCGTATTTATAAGTGCTGGGAAGAACAGTACCCTCTCCAAACCACAAGAGACACATTGCTCCAATGTAGGTT